TATCGAACTTTTACTTTTTTTGGTTGCTCCTCTTTTTTTTTCTTACCTGTTTCTTTCGCTCTAAAATCGTAAAATTAACGAAGTTTAAAATAATAAAAAGGACTATTTTAAACCATCGCTACACAATATTCCTCCTGAAATATTCTGTAACATTTGGATAAGAACACAGTGTATTTCCATACTTTATGTTGATTAAATAACATTATTAGAATCAATATTTATTTAACAAGAGCGATAACTTTTACCTGAAGGAGCCAGGTGGTTTGGGGAGCTTTTCCTCTTAATAAATTAAAACATCGTTTAAAGTCAGTGTGACATCTTTGTCTTATTTCAACATCAGTTTGCTGCAAGAACAGAATAAACGTGGATCCTTGCTCACAGCTCAGTTAACGTGTTTTGATCATGAATTGTCCATCCTGAAGGGAACGTTAATCTGTATCTAACGATGCGTTTGTGTTTGTCAGGAGCTTTTAAAACTCTGGATAAAGAAGGCGACGGCACCATCTCCCTGGACATCAAAGAGGTGAAACAGATTAGCTTTAAAAATATACAACATGAAGAACTTACCTGAGCAAAGAAACATTTTACCTTACTCTGGCTGATGCTCAGTAATAATCCGTTCTAGTGCCACTTATTAATTAAACACAAAATATTGCTTTAATCCCGCTAAATTATGTGCAACGCTATTTGGTTGCAAAAGTCACATTTTTACGCATATCTGAAAGTGTCATTAGTTATTTTTTACTGATGTTTTCCTATAAACACGTCGTCTTCACATAAAATAATTTGTAAATAAAGTTTTTGTGCTTTTTGTTTACTGAAGAGCAGCAAATCCAAATGTCTCGTTTCAAACCGACTAACAGACGTTTTTGTGTCTGGCAGTGGCTCCAGCTGACGATGTATTCATGAAGCGTGCAGGAGAGCCGCTCCACACAGAAGACATCTTCTCACAGCTCCTTCCATGGTTTTTTCTTGTTGGTTTGTTTGTTTACGAATGTGCAGTTGTGCTCGAAATGTTGCCATATTTATCCAGCAGGACCACAAACAGCTAAAGTATAAACTGGGATCAACCGAGCCCAAGGGCGAGCTGAGGACCTCCTGCCACCAGGTGGCGCTGCAACAACCAAAGTTTGTTTATTTCTAAAGATTTTCACTTTTATTAGGCTGACAAAGTTCATGGAAAAGTCTCTGACTGTTCAAGTAAAGTGACCCAACTGAAACTGAACTGTTGTTTTGTGTTTTTTATCGGGTTCAGAACCGGAGTGAGATGTCTTACGGTTCAGGTCGGATCATCTCTGAATCATAAAATATCAGAAAGATTCAGGAAAATAAAACGTCACGTCTGCGACCTTCATTTTTTAACATGTAAATACGAAGAGCTCGTTTTATTTAAATAATGTCAGTCCACAACAGAAACTGTCGGGGCACCGTAGAACCAAATGAGTCTGATCCAGATGCTCAACGTGAACCTGGTTCTGGTTCCAGTGGAGGTTTCTTCCTGTTGAAGGGAGTCGTTCCTTCCCACTGTCGCCAACGTGCTGCTCAGGACGAAGGAATCGTTCATTCTTAATTTATGGACAAATGTTAAATATTAACATAAACTGTACACATGAACAGGAATTAAAAAAGGCGGAGAGCCATAATTACAGAACTGGTTCTCCTTCAGTTCTAAGATGATTCCTGTCGGAATAAATTTCTAATCTGCAGGTAGAGAAGTAATTAAATACATTTTATACAAAATAAGTGAGCCTAGTTTCATCATATTTATATTTTATCAAACTTGTTTGTTGTCATTTACACAGAAAATGAAAACTAATAAAATATAAAAGGAGTGCAGAGGGAGTTTGACGCTTCAAGGTAAAGAGCAGAATAAATATTATTAAATGTACTGGTTTAAATGTCCAAGACTGACAGAACAGGACAGTTTTTACAAACTTAAATCACAGACGTGTATTAAATTAATTGGATTAATTGGGGCCTCACGTGCAGCTGATAACCAGCAGGGGGCGATAAAGTGCCACCACGCAGCGTGCAGGGCAGAAAACAAGACTGCAGTTTAGATTTACTAACATCGCGGTAATAACTAGTGATTTAAATAAAGTTTAATTTTATTTTAATAAATCATGTGATGACAAAGATTAAAGACTTGTTCGAGTATTATTTTATTGAACATCTGTTGCATACAGTAACTTAATGTAAAGTATGTGATTATGTGTCCTAACACCTGCTGAGGTGTGTTTGGTAATGGGGGCGGGGCCAGAGGGGCGGGGCTAATTGGAGTGAGGAGCAGAAGCAGGAGGTGGCTGCAGCCAGGAAACGGTTTGGTGCGGAAAATCTGGAGACAAAAACTGATGAAAGGTAAGAGACTTCCTGTCTAATTTTACTTCTGACTCAAATCGGACTAATACATTTTTTAATATAGATTTTTTTTTATTATAGATTATATTTATTATAGATTATTTAGTCAGGTTACATTAATAAATTAGACCTGATAAACATGGGAGAGGATTATTGTTCTGGTGGAAAAATAAATCATGGTTTAAATAATCTGAAACTAAACACTTAATGGCCTTTATATAAGCCCTAATTATGATATATATATATATATATATATATATATATATATATATATATATAT